TCTCCACCCCCTTATCAACCAACTCAACTTCCAAACCAAGCTACTCAACTCTTCGATAACATAATCCAAGTCTTAGATGACTTTGAAATCGATCACCATTCTCTAAATAATCAGGAAAATCAAGAAGATCATAATCTTGAAAATTTCTTTGACATTGAAAACAATAACCAAGAAACAGAAAACCAACAAGAAGACTCAGATCACAAAACTATTCAAACAGACGAATCAGAAGATATTAATATGGGTAACCAAGCTTTACAAGATGCTGCCAATGCCATGACTAGTGTTGTAAACTTAATTAAAATAATTTTTTATTTTAAATGCTAAAAATCAAAATTAATTACATTTTTGTATTTTTAATAATTTTTGTGTTATTTAAAAGCTGATAGTATTGTATAGTATATTTACTACAAGAACATAAGTATATATGCATATGCAGTACATACAATAAAAGTATTACATTTACATTTTAAGTATTAACTGTATATATATTAAACGTTAATTAATCTACGTATCGTTATTGCAATATAGATTCTTTAAATATTAGAATTTTATAAGGTATTTACCAATCTAATTATAAATCGAATTTATTATCCATTCCGAACATTTTATTTATTAAATCGTCTGTATTATAGTCCATATTTCCAAGCGAATTTAAATTTTTTGTATTATGATATGTCAACTTATCAACTTGAAATTGGCTATCAGTTTTGAGTGATAAATTATTAAGATCAATAATTTCTGAAATTAAGAGTGTATTATCAATTTGTTTAGCAGCTTCCGATAGTGTAATTTCTTGATCATTCAATGATGAATATTCTTGATTATTCAATAATGAATGTTCTTGATTATTCGATAGTGAGTGTTCTTTATTATTTGATAGTGAATCTTGATTTGTATTAAATAAAAGTTCATCAATATCAGAAATTATAGCACTGTTTACTGAATTTCTTAATTCTTGTTGAGTCAAATTCTCTCTATAGTAAACCAATTCTTTTTTAATGTTTGTTAAATAATAAGATCGAATCTTTGCTATTGACTCAATATGATGAATATCGAGGTTATGCCAATTATTTCCATAAAGCCATCCTAACATGGAAAAATTTCTTTCACATCCGGCCTGAGAAGGCATTATAGAGAATAATTTGATTGCAAGTTTAATTAATAGCTTTTCACCCTCATCAAATGTAAGCCACCAATTAAGCGCTAGTTCACTTTCTTTTTTATATTTCATATCAAAAGGATCTTTAATTCGCTTATACTTTCTAAGATCAGCCAACAAATCTGAATACGAATACTCATCATTACCTAAGGCTTTCCAATAATTGGCTGCAATTTCACAAATCCGTCTAAATGATCTTTTTTTTAATCCTAAACTACGATAACTAGGATGCAAGAAATATCTAAGTAAATAAGCATCATGATCAAACTCTTTATATCGACGATTGAATATATTGATAGCATCATTTTTTAAAGTATTTCTTTCAGGTATCTGATTAATTGCAATAGCCAATTTGATATATTCAACATAACAATCGGCCATCGTTGTAGTTTTGGATTCTACAACACTAATTGCGTCCTTGATTGGCTTAAATATTTCTGAAACTAATTTGCACATTCGAAATAAATCTTCATTATCAATATAATTAGATATGTTTTTATTAGTTAAAATATTAGAATGTTCACGCTTAATCTATATAATTAAATTACAGTATTATAATAATTTTAGATACAATAACTTAAAAAAAAAAAAAAAAAAAAAAAAAAATTACCCATTCAAATATAGAACATGCACGTAATAGTGAATCAGCTGTATTCCAAAGAGAACACCACCGTGTTTTAATATATAATTTTAAATCACCACCTTTGATTTGTAAATTAGCTAACCCTTCTTTTAAAAGTGCATTAGCGTGATGATTTCTATTAAAAAATCCTATGATATCATTACTTTGAGAAATCACATTTTCAATCAATTTAAGTTTTACTAAATCTGTAACGATTAAATTTAATGAATGTGCCACACATCGAATATTTAAAATGTGTGGATATTTTTTATTAATTATTTGCCATGCTACTCTAACATTGCTACCTCCATCTGTCACAATTCCAGCAAATTTATTAACACCTATATTTAAAATAATGTTTTTGATTTCATTTGCAATATATATCCCAGTTTGTAAAATTTTGGAATAGTCTTTAAGAGCTACAAGATATTCATGTCGATCCGTAGTTGAAATTATATAATTATAAATTAAATTTCTACTAGGTGATGACCATCTGTCGAGGGCAAGTGTTAGAAAATTACATTGTTCTAATTTCATGTTAATTTTCAAGTCAATTCGCGCAGTTTCTTGTTCCAATAGTCTATTAGAAAGTATTATTTGACTAGGTGGTGTATATTTAATATTAAGATGTCTAAATAAATCAACTATAAATGGATTACTAATAATATCAAATGATATGCTTGTTATAGTCCAAGCTTTTAAAACAGCTTTGTCAATTTTATTTTGTTCATACGGCGATAAATCAAGTTGGTTTGTATGTTTTTGATTTGAGCTTTTTGTTCTCTTGTAATTAGTAATCTTATCTAAAAGTAATTCTTGCCAATTTTCTTTTATATCTTTAGGAACACTAGGACAAATATTCGCAAGATGAGCCTCCATTTCTGAAGGACATCCACAGCTCCAATATTTTGAACAATAATGGCAAGTTGCACTACGATTATTTGTAACATTACTAGTTATATAAAATTCCCAAATTTTTTCTTTTAGACGGCCTACACTTTTTCGTTTTAATGTGTTATTATTTGTTTTTAATGTATCGGTTTGAGAAAATTCGTTTGACATGTTTAAATTTGTGGAAGTCGATTCATCCATTATTGTAATAAAACAAGTTCAAAGAGATAAAACAATCACTATTTATATTGATCATATTATTTATCACTGATAAAATTATTATTGAATTACTGTAATAAATTTTCACTTTTATAATTCTAAATTTAATTATGATATTTTGCAATTTTTGCAATTACTTAACAATAATATTTTTGTAAATTAAACTATTTTGGTATTTAAATTTAATTAAGTTTACAACGCTAAGCATGACCCATATCAGCAGATTTTTGATAATAAATGAATGACTTATGTTCATCCTTTTCAATTCCAATTCCATTTTGATAACAATAACCAACGTTATTTGTTCCATCAGCATGACCCATATCAGCAGATTTTTGATAATAAATGAATGCCTTATGTTCATCCTTTTCAACTCCAATTCCATGTCGATAATTGTATCCAAGTTCGTTTAGCTGAGTTGAATTCATTTTGGTTTTCGAATAAGAAAGGTCCGAATCTGCATTGCCAATAATTTGTGCTGCTGATTTTACATCACTATTCAGTAACACAACTAGTTAATAAGGTATGTGGTACATTTCCCTTGGAATTCTTAGACTAATTATACGTAATAAAAAATAGTATTTTACGTTATCGTTATTGTTTCATTTATTTATTAAATTCTATATTTTTTATCACTTTATTGCTAAATTAGCATTTTTATGATTAGAAACGAAAAGCAAACAATTATTAAATAGGAAAGTTAATTGAGATTAAAAGTATTTTTACTAATTAAAAAAGCCGTATACTGTATATTAAATAGCACGAAGCCCATGGTTCAATGTACATTTTTAATAAATAAATGTATAAAAAGCATAAGCAATTAATTTAATAACAAAAATAAGTCACAAATTACATAACTAAATAATAATACAATAATTCTTTCACCAATATCCATAAATAATATTCAAGTCTTGCCTTATAGAATAGATCTTAAAGAGGTGTAATAACATTATCTCGCATAATTTATAATACGGTTATATGTTGCTTTTTTTTGTTCAGTTTTTGTAACTGATAAGTGATAGATGCAGTATGTTATGTTTTGTGGGGTTCACTTTCAGACATCATGGTTTACAGACATGTTTTATCACGAACCGATTATTCCCCTAAAAAAAATTTACATTGGGTTTAAATTTAAAATGCAATTTTAACACGGTAATATATACTGTAATTAATCTGTATTCAAAATAAAATTCTTTTTATCGTTCTAAACAAAAAAATTGATAAGTGCTTTGAATAAATTCAAAACGATGAAAAAAGATTAAAACAAAATTCATAGTATAATATAATTTGTTCTTTTGCGCGCACAAATAATATAAAAAAATAAATTTTGAGCAAAGAATAATTAATTTTGCAAGTTAGTTATCATAATCGAAAAAATTGATATGAGAAGATGCTTTATACCATTTCTACTGTATCTTTGATTGTTGATTGATATGTATATTGAATCATTGTAGACTTAGAATCCACCTAAGTAGATTCCAAATAAATATATGTTGTAATAAAATTCTAAGATGTTAACAATTTTTAATTCAACTGATTTATCAAGACATTGTTTTGGAATTTTAATAAGTTTTTTAAAATAAAATTTTATACGCATTGTAAATTAAATTTATTAAATATAAATGATTACATAATTTTTTTATCACGAAAAGCAACGTGCTTTTTGGTGCAATAAAGATAATAAACTAACATATTTATTAAAATATTAGAATTTCAAATAAAGTTGCTTTTAAATTTATCAATTATTACACATTTCTTACTTTGTAAAATTTAAAAATTTCGTACTGACTTGAACTACATATGAATTCATTTCAACCTAATAAATTCAGTTACGTAACTTTTTTTTTTTTTTTTACTAGGGTGGTTTGCTTTATAGACAACTAATTTACTGACAAGCTTATTTGTATTTATTTTACAGACAAGTTATTTCTTATAAATTCCTAAATAAAACCCTAACCATAAATTCTAATAAAATAATGTTTGTGAAATGAGCCATCTATGAAATAACTTTATATGAAATGAGTTTGTCTGTGAATTGGTTGTCTGTAAAATAAGCTTGTCTGTGAACCATGATGTTTGTGAAGTGAGCTGCAAGATTATGACCGACTAATACGTAGTAATTTACGTTGGACATGATTTTGGACATTTTGGGCAGAAAAATAAATTGTATTTTACCGTTACTCAATATATCAGATATCATATAACGATAATCATACGTATAATTTTTATTTAAATTACTGTACTAAAATATTTAAGCCTATGAGCATATTTGGACGTTGGACATGGCCAAAGAGGCTTTGGACAGCATACGTATACGTATACATTCTGTGACAAACATTGGACGGAATTTGGTTTTAATAAATCGAGTTTATTAATTTGATGGTGTATACTTTTGCTTGACAGCTATTAATTTTAGTGTAACGATAGTACTACTTCAGATTAACTAGCATATTTTAAACTATACCACTACTATATGTTCTTCAAGAATGAAGTTTCCTTCTATAGAACTCTTATCTCTTAATTTGATACCTCTTTTTCATTCAACTATTTTCATCCAGAAAGCATAACAATTTTTTTACGTGCAATTTTGAGAATGTCTTCATAGTGAATCTTCACTTATAAATATATATATAGTATTATTTTATTAAAATAAAATTTGTTATAAACGCATACCGATACTTGTTCAAATTCAGGAATCACTAGACTAGGGATGTTCTATAGAATAGGTGGGAAATATAAGAAATAAGCTTCGATATCAGAAATATCAAGTTCCATATCAATATTTGATACGTTAATATTTGCTTATTAAATTATTGCCGTAAAAAGAATTATCAACTAGAACGTTAATCTCTCACAAATTACTAATATTAAAGTCTTATGCGTACGCTTCTATATACTATCATGAGTACGGTATAATCTTTTAATGTCTGTGCTAACTTATCGTACTACTTTACTGTATACTCCGAATTAAAAACTCTGAAGAGTACTAGAATAATATGTTATTTTTTTTGAATAGGATTTGTTATTCAGGACACGTAATTAAAAATTTATTAAAAATTTTTGTAAAGTCGAATAAAAAATATTTTTTAAATTGCTTATTTTATTGTACAAATACAGTATCTCAAAAATTACAAAGCAAGAATATACACTCTATAATCATTATTTCAGCCTCCATCGAGGAAGTTCTTATTCAAATCAGAATTTCCATCTTTAGCAGATTTAAAGTACCATCCGAATGCCTTTTTTTCCATTTTCGGGAATATCTCTCTTTCCATCACAAATTTCTAATGCGAGTTTAATATCAAATTTGTGACCATAAAATGGAGATATTCCAGTAGCCATCTATGTCAAAAACTATATATATCAGCTGCTGATGTATATTCCTGACATAATAAAACTTCCGGCGCAATATAAGGCAAAATTCCTTTTTCTAAAATGAGCTCTTCATTCTTTCGAGATAGTCCCAAATTTGCAATATAGGACTTTAATGAACCAACCCATTATTCTTTATGTTGTAAAATATTGCCGCAGTGAAGATTGCAAATCTTTCGAAATATCTCCTTCCAAAAAAGTTCTTCAAAATTTTAGATAATTATGAAGGTCTCCGTTATTATCGTAGCATATTGAAATACTATCATATATTCTTCTGTTTTCGTATTTTTAGTTAATCCATATACTGCAAGCCTGCTGCCACTTAATTCGACGGAGGAACCTATTGGAAATGCAAAGAACCACCAAAATCTGATGAAAGAACGCACCTAAAACGTACTGAAAAAAAAACACTAAAATTCAGCGAAGGAACCTACTGAAACACGAAAAAAGCGCATCAAAACCAGAAGAAACGTCGAAAGGACGCACCGGAGGAAAATACCAACATTTGATGAAGGAACCATCGACTAAAGAAAAAAAAAATCAGAAATTAAAAAAAAAAAAAAAAAAAGTTAGAAAAAATAAAAAGTAATAAAAGTAAACAAAAAAAAAAAAGTTTCAAAGAATTTGTGAGGCCGTTGCTGGGAATCGAACCCAGTGCATAAACATCTCCAACAAGACAACGACTTTATGCTTAATACTCTAGAGTAAAACCCTGTCATATTAAGCCTTTAAAAAACCGTTTTTCTTTAAAAAAAAATAAATTTCTAAATTAGCTTTTTTTAAGAAAAAACGTAAAAAAAGGGAAGATATTACCAGTTAGCATAAACAAAATATATAAACAGTTAATGTTTGTAGGGTAGAGTTACATTTTTTAACCGAACAATAAATCGTCATAGACATTATTTTGACGTATCAAAATAACCAGACGAAATTTAGTTGTTCGCCCTAAAAAAAAATTATTTGGGTAGAGCACATTTTTTAACCGAACAATAAATCGTCATAGACATTATTTTGTAAACAAAATAACCAGACGAAATTTAGTTGTTCGCCCAAATAAAATTTTATCAAACATCGAACAAAGTTTATAATTAAGTAAAGGCTTAACGGTGCATATCTTAAAGTTCAAAAAAAAAAGAAATGGATGAATTTATATAAAACAATTTCAACGTGTTTAAAAAACATTACGTAATCATGCATGAGATCATAAAAACAAACAATACATGTGATTTAATCCAATCAAATTAAACGTATATAATAACGTGACTAACAGCCAATTAACATACCAATACTTTTTTGATATAACTGCACCTACACAAAAAATGTTTTCTACAGTATAAGTCCCTTCGAATTATACATACGTGAGAATTTGAAATCTATCGAGAAGAAAATTTCTACAAGTCGCTTTAGTCTTATTATCACTTGATTTTTTTTATTAAATTATCTTGGAATTAAGTATCGGATTAATTTCATAATTTAAAGCATATCTGAAATATGTGCAATTCTTTCTTTTGTAATTTTAAATTTCGTACAGTATTTAAGTTCATTAATTATCTACCTTCCAGAAATTCCCGACATAAATTGATAATTTGTGATATACTGCGGTGATTTAGTCAACTTCTATAATTGGCTGTGATTCTGCTTTTCGCGTTGCATACAGATGCAACGATTTTATGACCAATATTACCAAACCTGATTTTAATTTCCTAATTTGGAAATTAACTAAGATTTACAAAATTAACCAATAAAAATTTATTTAAAATTAATAATAAAAATTCAATAAAATACGTATATGTATAATGCAAATTAAAATAGTATTACAGTTACTATATTACAGTATTATCTCGAAATCATGCCCAGAGGTATTATTTCAGATGCACTATTTAAAGAAAACTAAGAATTATTTTATTGAAAATCTTCGATTAAATTAATTCTCAGCTCCCTAAATTGTGAATCCCGAAATAATGCCTCGGGTTATCTCAATATACGTACATACGTATGTACAAATCGCGCAGTATATCTGATATTAAAATTTTAAAATCACGCAATAGTTACACAGTTTCAAAGTTTGGGTAATATCCCGAATATGTATGATAAATAAGGCTAGTCTCCTTACACGCTTTTATGCATAGTTACTAATATAGAACTAAAGAGTATCATGTTTTTTGATTTAAACTTTATATTGTATTTCCTTATCGTTTTATCTCTTTTATTACATGTTTTGTCTTTTTAATAGCTTTTGTAAGTTGGGTGCCGACGTCTTTTCGTTTCTTGTTCGAGTGGAAGAAGGCTAGTAATAGGAGCTTTGCGCTTTTGAGAATTTACATTCTCATGCATGACGTCCACAAATTGCTGTGCATTTCTAAAGGATTCTGAGGTAACGATATTATGAAGGTGATTTAATAAAATATATTGATTATTAGTACTCATTTGTTCTGGAACTTCTTGTGTTAATGGCTGTTTAAACGGACTCAAATGTTCCAAAACTTTTAAATTTTCTTGCAGTGCTTGCAGACTTCTTGAAGTCGATATTAGAAAGTCTTGGAATTCCTGTTTGTAAATAGCAGAGGCATTTAAACTAGCAATATTGGACGTGTTGGATCTGAATTGGGTTTGTGAAGGTGAGCTTGCAGATGATATTGTCATCAAAGTGTGTTGTATACCGAGAATGTGCTTCATGTAATTGAGAGTTTTTTCAGATGTGGTGAATGTAAAATTATTCGTATCATAAACTTGATCATTACATTCATTATCAGTATCTTCATTTTCGTTATTAGTGTCACTTTTATCACTATTATCATCATCACTAATATCACTATTATTCGTATAACTTATTGGTATTTCTTGTTGGTTTGTATATAGGTTGCGACTAATACTTTGTGCTTTTTGATAAGTCGCAAAAGTCAATTCAGGTAGATGTGCATGTTGTTCTTGTTGACGAAGTTCATCTATATAAAGAGTTGCAGCACGCAGATGCTTACACATAATTCCTCTTTGAAGGAAATCAATACATTGGCAACAAATATCTGTAGCCTGACCATATACACAGGTAGTATAGACAAGGTGTGGTGTAGTTTCGGATTCAACTTGAACAAAAATTTTTCCTGTTATTTGTTCTATTTCATACTTAATTACTTTTTTGGTTTGAAGCAATTTCTTTGCTGATTCATCACGTTTTAGACTTGGAGCTAGGTAAGCCACTTTGAAAAACTCTTGCTGAAGAACTTTATGATCTAATTGTTTTATAATATTGAATTCTTTTCGTCGTTCTGCTTTTTCTTGCTCGAGATTTTTTACAAGATTTCGCAAAGACAATATGTTAGGTATGATTTCATTTACAAGAACAGTGTAAAGTACATCTGCTCTGAGGAGACGATTATTTCTTTGAAATCGACTTATTTGATTATTTTTTAGGTATTCATTTAATCCTTCAAGATGGTTATTTGTAGTAGGAAGCTTTTCGAAGGAAATTCCAAGTAATTTTGCGGCCTTTTTTCGACCATTAAGACATCAACTATGTAAAAGTTCTCCAGTCCACTGCTTTTCTAGATAAGTAAAAAATCTTGCTTCACCATCCAAAATTTTTTTTGTATCATTTGAAATGTCTTCTGACTTACATATAATCGTTTCTAACGAATTTTTTTTTTCTTTAATAAACCTGCGTACTATATTCTCATTACCATCTATTGTCCAAGCTTCCTTTAATACATTTCGTAAATACGTTTTCAAGGTTTGGCGTTGTAAAATTGTATCATTTCCACCACCTCGTCCCAATTGCTTGTTCATTTCATTTTTCCAGCATTGGCTAATATGAAAGTAACATAGAAGCAAAGTTATATTTGGCCATACTTTTAACAATGACTTTCGCTCTTTAACATCTGTATCAGTCATTGCAACAAGAGGACTAAATGTAATTGTAGTAGTGTTTGGGTTTTCTGTGAGGTGGTTTTGGTTGTAAATTGTGCTAATTCTATCACGGAAGATTGTAAGAAGCCATTCCAAAATACTGCTATCATAGCCAGATAATGTTAGTCGATTTTGTGGAGGTGGTATAAAGATAATAAATGAAATAGTGATGCCTTTGTTATTTTCATCGATAACTAAGATAATGAATAAGAGAAGTTTATTCTTGCTAATTCCAAACGTTCCATCCATAAGGATAAGATTATGATGTCTATACTTCCACGCAAACTCCTGTTGCTCATGAGTACTAATAATAATTTCTAGATGACCAGTTTCTTTTGTATAGGGTTGGTAATGTAGACACGCTTTTTTAAGTTCTGATGGATTCGCGTCTGGTCCAAGAAACTGCTCTAAATTTTTCGCAGGATCGTTTTTAATATTTATACACTAATTTTTTTGAAGCATTTGCCCTTTAATATTTGTAATATCCATTGCAGTAAGTAACGTCCTTGAATTTCCAATTAAGGTCTGTTTTTCAAATACGTTTTTCACCATTTTGGCATTCTGAGCAAGAATATCAGCAGTGCTTACGTTTAGATTCAATAGAGTTTCAACATTTTTTTTAATATATGGTAAAAGCTTATATGGTGGGTCGCGTTGTGGTTGAGATGTTTTACATTGTTTTGAATGTTTTATATATCCTGAAATAGCACAGATCTTATTATCACGAAGGGAAATATTAACAAAAGCAAGGCATCCCACATAGGGATAACGTGCAGCAGAGACACGGGAATTAGGTATATTGTTTTTTTGACAAGGTAAAATAAGATTTCAGGCTTTCAATCATATAACGTAATGAACAAAGCCCCTGAAATTTTTAACTAGTGACGTATAATATTTATAATGCACAATTGAACTTCAATGATATCATTTTCGTCCATTATATTATATAATTAAAAGCCTGAAGACTTATTTTACCTTGGCATTTGCATTATTTATTCACTTTTTTTTAGACAATCGATTATTGAAACCAAATCATTATTGTAAGTAGAAAAATTGTTTAACCTGTTGGTAGCTATGACTAGTTGGCTATTATTTAGATATTAAGTTTTCTTTATAATCATATACTAACTAAATCATCGAATTTGTTGAAAGATATTATTTTTAGTTGGAAATACAAAATGCTAATTTGAATACTAAATGTTCTTTATATTTGTCTATCAAACTTTCGCAAACGAAATAGGTATTTATGATCATTAAATTGTTTCAATTAAATTGACTTGAGAGGCATAATTTGATAATTGTGAATGTAATGTAATTTACCAAACATTATATATTTTCTTTCACCAAATTAATCTTTATGAAAAGAATAATTTAAAAGCTATCATATAATCGAATATGAATTTTGAAGTTCTTTTATTATATATGTCATATGAATTTATTTGAAAATTTAAACTTTTGATTATGAATATATAAATATTAGATACTTTTTTATGTATTAATTAAATCAATCAAGTTAACTGTTTTAACTTATATTATTTCAGTTAAGCAGATTGTACTCTATTTGAAATCAAAGTTTATTAGTTATTACAGTATTAGTAATGAGAGGTTTGCGTAGGCTTAAAGATGTATAATCTGCACTTTACTATTTGAGTGCTGCAGAGTGAAAACTAGGAAATGAAACTTTTAAGTTCTCATCATAGCGAACTTAACTCCTGAAAAATTTTGATATCGACATTACCAGTGTTGTCAATTTTTTTGTTCTAATGATAAAAATTATATTCTATTCTAAATTCTATTCTATCGTTCTATCGTTCTATTTTTCTATTACTAATTATAATCTAGTCAATTTTTTGTTCTATTGATAAAATTTTTTCAATTCAAAATTCTATTGCTCTATTCTATTGTTCTATTCGTCTATTGCTGCCAATACTGGATATTACATATTGTCAATAAGTGTTCTGGCTGTTTCGTTAAAATTGAAGTGACATGATCGAAATGACTACGTAGAATACTGATTGTACTACATTTAAATATAATATCAAAATTTTTTAAGGGTTAAGTTCGCAGCATTCATTTTTTAAATATATTAGATCCGTAATTTTATGAAATTTTTGAAATTTTTTAATTTTGGCATGTGCGAGCCTTTACTAGTAATATTTAAATATACGTATGTATGTATACGTATATTTGTAATTAAAGTTCAAATTTAGCGTAGGATTAGTACATGTGTTCGTACATAAACTTTTATTATTAAAATATTTTATTACGTAGTTAATTTTGTTTAATTCCTAAACTAGTATTTTATTGGCTGATTTTGTAGATCTTAGCTAATTTCCAAATTAGGAAATCGAAATTAGGTTTGGTAATATTAGTCTGATTTTATTGGTCGCTGATAATAAAGCCTAATTTTAATTTTAGATAATATTGCTTATGCGAATACTCAACTCGCGTTTTTCTTTTTAATCGTAAACTAAGGTTTATTAGGATTGGTGACTGGACTCGTCAACTCGTGACTCGAATAAACTCGAGTTTATCACGATTTGAATCATAAATTCGAAACTCGCGAGTTACTCGTGAGTTAAATTACTAAAATAAAAATTATGTATAGCAATATTAGAGATTTCAAAATTAGCGAAGTTTAAAAAAAATTATATTTGTAATTTTTAAATTGAAATTTTGAAATAGGA